AAGAAATTTTATTATATTTTCTTAATGAACTAAGGCAGAGAAATTTTGATGAGTCATTTGGTTCTCTAAGGAAATCTCAAGTTTATTAATTAATATAGATATCCTTCATGGAGGCACAGCATACAACCAAATTGACAATGAAAAACATCAAAGCTTACCTCTGAAGGTTTGGCTACATCTTTTTCATCCACATATTTTGCCCATGGTCCTAAGAAACCATCAATATTAGATGCATCATTTTCTTTGAACTTTTTCCTCTTTTCTATTTTCTTCTGACCAGTTTCAAACACAGTTAAACCTATATTAACCAAAAAAAAAGAAAGAAAAAAAGAGAGCCACCACAAATATGTATACTTTCTGAAGATATATCAGCATATATATAACTTTATTTTATATGGTTAAAGAAAGGTGATTGTTCAAGTGACCAAAGATTTATCAAAAAACAAAATAAAATCTGTATGAATCTGACACATATACCAACTCATGCTACATAAAAAGGGATTCAACCTTCTAGAGAAAGAAGCTTTCTACAAATGTAATATTTTGCAAATTCTAATACGGTGTATTCAAAGAAAAGACCCAAATACGTAATCTTACAATGGTAATGAATTTACCTTTTAATGAATCAAAAACCTGTATCAGTAGATTTTTACCACTTTTTGAAAGAAACCCAGTAACGCAGTACTGCTATATAATGATAAAGCTACCTTTGAAAGCAAGAATAAACTTTAATTTATCATTTAAAAATGGAATTAAATTACAGTAAGTACTTAGTAAATTATTTTCACTTCACTTGTAACACAATATAAATCAAACAAAACCTTATTTGGTATTTCTTCCAAGTGATCTCAATCTAAACTTGACCTCTAATAGCATCAATGTTAACAGTAAAATAAAGGAGGAAGGAGCAGTTTTCTGGTTGAGATTTTGATTGATTAGTAGGAGGTGGCATAGTCCTTAAATTGGAAAAAGAAAGGTTTATGGGAGTCATGGGCATAAGTTAACTAAGAATCTAGCCACATTTAGATACGGCTTGCAGAGGTCCAACGTAAAGAAGAAAAGTCTACCTATATTAATTCTAATCAGTTTCTTTTAGGCTACGTTTCATGACAAAAGTTTGTTAAAATTTGATTTTAACTATAATCTAGCTCATACACAGAAGGCAGCTTGATCATATAGGGTCTATAGCCACTAAGTAGAAGTGTCCCATGCAACCTGCACATTCTTTTTTTAATGACACTTTATGGATAACGGTCCAATGGGCTGATGAGCTTTGTGACAAGTTAGTATGATGCTTTGTCTTATATAATAAGTACAAAATGAATATGAGCACAAACATATTTCATAACACATATTCAAACTCAGCCTTTAAAGCAATCCTTCAAAGACAATCTTCACAGACATGAAAAATAAAATTTTTCTGCTCTGTTAAAATATAGATTGACATTAGTGTTGAGAAGTCAACTGCCAAAATTATCTATACATTAATTATAATTTATTATTGCTCTAAACTGTATCACTGTATTGTCTTAACTTTAAAAAACAAAATCAAGAGGTGGGGCACTGTGGCTCACACCTAAATCCCAGCATTTTGGAAGACTGAGGTGGGAGGATATCTTGAGGCCAGGAGTTCCAGATGGGCCTGGGCTACATAACAAGATCTCACTTCTACAAAAACAATTAACCAGGCATGGTGGCACACACCTGCAGTCCTAGCTACACAGGGGACTGAGGTAGGAATGCTTGAGCCCAGGAGTTCAAGGCTACAGTGAGCTATGATCACGGCACTGTACTCCAGCCTGGGCAACAGAGTAAGACCCTGTCTTTAAATAAAAAAGAAAAAGAAAAAAAAAAAATCAAGGGCTAAATAAAATACTAGCTTTTTCCTACTGTCTAATAAAAGTCAATATGAAAAACA